GTGCAGAGGACGCATCCCTTGCTGCGGTGTGACTAGAAGAGAGCCATGTGCACATGGGTGGCATTAGTGCACAGCCCCTGTCTGTGGGGCCCTCGCTGCTGACTGTAAAACCAGGAACCAAAAGGAGCCACAGAGCCCCGTCTGTGGTCTCAGGGTTTATGGCAAGGACATTTTGCAGGGTAACTGTGTGTTAAGGATCCACTTTGGCTATCTCCCCTGGCAGGGTCAGTTGGAGGGAGACCTAATCACTCAGTAAACAGAGAGAAGAGAGATGCTTATACTTAATAAGCCATTGCAAATGGAAAAAGCAAGCTCCTACCCAACGTGCTTCGCTCTAGAAACAAATGGCTTGGATCCAAGTACTCCAGAGCACTTCCCGTATGCTGAGAGGTCTCCAGGTCCCAGCGCCCCCAGAAGGTTCTCTTTCTCCTGGAAATAGCTTAAACCAGGGAAGAGGAAATGATGGTGTGTGTGTGTGTGTGTGTGTGTGCACGCGTGCACGCCACGATCACAATTTTTTCTTTTGTCTTAAGTTGCAGAGCTCCTGATGGGAGCACATCCCTTCTCCTTGGGGAGCAGACACAGCAATTAAAGGAGAGGGCCAGACACACGCTCAGAGCCAAGGTGCTGGGAGCTGCCTCCACAACCCTGGGACCAAAGGGTGTTCCCAACCCCCTTCCTCCACGGTCCCTGAGCCCCAAAGAGCAAAAACACCACAGAGTTTTCGCGGTTCAGCAAGTGGCAAAGTTGGCCTGGTGGCAGAAGGGAGGTGGACATCCCTGCCAAGGCTTGCTGCTCTGGTCTCTCTCATCTCTGCCCGGTGCCAACCGTCCTGTCAGATGAAAGACGCAGTGTGGTTCAGTGGGCCAAGTCGCAGCTCAGGCTGGGAGCCTCGGCCACCACCCGTCACCACAGCCATTTGCATTTCCTATTTTGTGCCCACTCTTGATACTTTCACTTAACATGTGGGAAATAAAAACACTAACCTGTCTCCTCAGGTTGTAAAAGAGAATGACCAGCATAAAAACGGAAAAATAAAAGGAGAACAGGGTACTTTGTAGATGCACTACACATAAATGCTAAATAAGGTCGGCAGGAGGTTATGGCATGTGCAGCTGTGGGAGGAGGCAAGGGGCACTGGGCACCTGAGAGGACTCCCAGACCAGGAGATCCAGGGGGTGTGACGGCCCGCCCACCTTCAGAGTTGTTACTGTTCAGCCCTTTCCTGGGAAAAAGGACTTCAAGGATTTCCACCGTCACCCAAGTGGGCAGTGTCTTGGGCACTAGCATCTCTTTCAATTTCAATTTGAATACATCAAAGAATCCAGAAAGAAGACAAGTATTCTATATATACATCTATATACATATAATTTTTATATATATATATATATATATACATCTATATACATATAATATATATTCAGTCTATCCTCTTAAGAGAGGATGAATCTTTGTTCTCCTTCTGAAAACAAAGAAAGAAATAGGGACTGCTAATAATATACCTGCACAATTTTCCAGCTTCTGACTAGAACAAGGGACCAAAACATGATCATCAAAAAATATTAATTCTGCCAGAGCAGTAATACGTAATCCCAGTGGCTTGGGAGGCTGAGGCAGGAGGATCACAAGTTCGAAGCCGGCCTCAGCAACTTAGGGAGGCCCGAAGCAACTTAGTCAGATCCTGTCTCAAAATTTAAAAATAAATAAATAAAAAGGGCTGGGGATGTGGCTCAGTGGCTAAGCACCCCTGGGTTTCATTTCTGGTACTTGTCCCCCCCCCCCCCGCCCCAGTTAATTCTGTATGCCTCTCTGTCTCAGTCATCTCTCTTCTTCCTGTTTCTAGACCTGGAAACAAAAGTGAAAGGTCAGAGATTTTCTATAATTATCAAGATTTTCCACTCTGTTCAAACTTAAGGCTAATTTGCCTGGTTAGTGCCATTTCATGATGACATTTGTATATTTTCACTTTAAAAAAATGTTTTAAAAGTGTAATAAGATACTACTTCATACCAGTTAGGATGGCTATTATCTAAAACAAACAGAAAATCACAAGTGTCAGAGGATGGGGGAATTAGAACATTTGTGCATTGCTTAAATGGTGTGGCAGCTATGGAAAACAGTATGGAGGTTCCTCAAGTATTTTAAAATAGAATTGCCATAAGATCCAGCAGTCCTACTTTTGGGTATATACCTAAAGGGGCCAAAAATAAGAACTTGAAAAGATATCTGCATACCCACATTCATACCAGCACTTCTTACAATAGTCACAAATGTGTTGTAGACCTATAATGGAATATTACTCGTCCCTGAAAAGGAAGGAAATTGTGACACGTGCTACAACATGGATGAAGCTTGAGGACATTAGTTAAGTAAAATAAGACAGTTACTAAAGATGGATGTTGCATGTTTCATTAATATGAAGACAAATCCATAGAAACAGAAGGTAGTATGGTGGTTGCTAGAGGCTGGGAGAAGGAGGGAGAAGTGAGAATTATTATTGAATGGTATAGAGTTTCAGATTTACAGGATGAAAAGTTTTGGAGATGGAGAGTGGTGATGTTTGCCAACAGTGTGAGCACACTGAAATATACATTTATAAAGAAATATACACATATAAAGAGTGAAAAGGACAAATTTTGTGTTACACATATTTTACCACCATAAAATGTAGATATGACGTCACATTCCATTCTTAGCCACCTGTGAAGGAGGAGGGGCAGGTGGTCTAGTCCCCTCTGTACAGTCACAGGACAACTCTGGGCCTGGTTTGGTGGGATGCACAGCTTTCTTCTGGAATGCAGAGCCCAGCCCAGCACCCTCTGGTTGCATCACCAGCGCCAACCAGCCTGGTGTCTGGGTGCTGCCCACAGGCCATTCTACCTGTGGCCCTTGGCTTAAAGGCATGAAAATAGGTCCCCCAATTACTAAACCCCAAACACTGGGCAGCTGTGGCCTTGAAGCAGAGGCTGATTTGGGCCTGACTTGCACTCTCCTCCCTTTTCTTTGTGGTTTCTCTCCTAGTCAAGGACACCAGCCCTTTTGCTAACTCCTCATACTCCACCAAGACCCCCACACCTGATGGGAGTGCATGGCCAATCTGGGCCTCCTTACACTGGCTGCAACTCTCCAGGTGGCTGGCTCCTCTCTTGATCCATTCTATGCAGGGGTTCCGCCTGAGATACCATAGCTTCCCAGGCCTCCCCCAGGCCACTGCTCTTAATTTCTAGGGCAGCTCATCAGAATCCCGCTCATCCCCCCCACCCCGGCCCCCGCCCTCCCAGGAGATACGATTTCAGCTCTCCAGGGCCCACTGCTGGACCAGATCTCTGTGAGTGGATCTCCCTCCCTTCCTTCCGTCCTCCCTCCTTCCTCCTTGCCATGATCTTGGTTTTCCTCCTTCCTCTCCTCTCTACAGACCCCTCCATTGCTATGCCTTTAGAAAAACAGGTGCACCTGCCTGCAGCTTCTCAGAACTTTCCACCACAGGACAAAAGGAAAAAGAAAGAGCTTGAACGACATCAGGGCCCTATCAAGGCCGGTACAAGAGGATCCTTCCTCTTCTGGGCACCTGAGGGAACACGAAAGGGAGGCAAAACAGATTGGTCAGAGGACAGTCCCATGGCGCGCAGGCTGGGGGCTGCCCCCGGGGTCCTGGGAAGGTGGACGTCGTCAGGGGGATCCGGAGTTCCCAAATGCGTGTGTGTGTGTCTGTGTATGGTAGTGCTAGTAAGAGGAGGGGTGTCGAGGCCCGGGAGTGTGTGTGTGTGTGTGGGAGGGGGGGGAATGGGGAAAGAATTCTTTAGGCCCAGCCGGGACACCCCTAACCTCCACCCAGTGTCAACTTTTTGCTGCTTCCGTTAGATGGCGCTCAAGACTGTCTAACCACCTGTGAAAGTGCTTCTGGCCCGGAACAAAAAGAACCGTGGGGTGTGAGGGTTGAGTCTGTTTGAGTGTGAGTGCGCGCAGGGCCGGGCACAAGGCGCGGGCGTCGCCTGGCACCACGCGTGGTCCCGTCACGGATCAGCCGGGCCCCGGGCGGGAGCGAGCTCCCTGGAGGGCCTGGCGCTACTGAAGCCCTCCAGGGATAAGAACTTTCGCCTGGTCCTTCTCCTTCCCACTTCAGCTCGCTCCTGGGCCCGGGCCTCGCTCCCAGAGGAGCTGGGCAGCCTGGCCGCGGCCGCAGCAAGCCCGGGACGTGCAGAGTGGAGAAATGGGGGGTAGACAGGAGCTTCCGCGACGCGCGCACCACAGCCCCTTTCTGCGCGCTGACTTACCGCCCCAGCTCCCAACCACAGCCCAGCGAGCGCTCTCTTTTTAAGAGAATGGGGGCAGGTGCAGGTTTTGTTATTGCTGTTTGAACCGCTCCAATGAAATCGTTGTTCAGTGTAAGATTTCCTAAGCTCACTGCGTGCTTGTGTTCTCAACAACACAGGGCAAAAACTTTCTCATCTCCCCTGCTGGTGGAGGCCGGGTGAAGTCAAACAGCCTCCCTTTTATGAAAAGGACCTTTGGGGGACCCTGGAACGTCATCTGCGACCGCTAATTTTAAATAATTACTTAACGAGTGATCCGGGGAGAGAACTTTTCTCTCTGCCACCAAGTTCATTTCTTCTCCCACACTTTCCAAGAAAAGTGACCTGATGGTAGGGTTAGGTGATCCCATTCCCCTAGTCCTCTTCTTAATGTCAGCCCGAGCGGGCAGTGCGCAGCAGAACGGATGCGTCTCCCCACTTGAGAACAAGCAGAAACGGAGCTCTTCCTTTGTGAAGTCCCCTTGGCTGTGAACTTTTCCGCGCGGTAGGTTCTCCTTTAAGAAAGTAGCGATTCCTATGAATATTTAATGTGGAACTCCGGCCGGACCCGGAGACGGGAGCCCACGGGCCGGGATCCCCTCGCGCGCTACGGCCGGGGCGCGCAGCGAGCTCGTCCGCACGGGTCCCGCCACCGCGAGAACCCGGGGGTAGGGAGGGCGGGGGGTGGGGGGTGTTGATCCAGGAAAAGGTTGGCAGAAAAAGGGCTGGTGACGGCGATCCCGGCTCGGGGGTGCTCGGGCCGTCGCGTTCATTTCCATAAGAAAGCTGAAATCGCGGTCGGAGGCAGGATTTCTCCCCGCTAGTGCCCTTCCCCCACAGCCGGTTTTCTGCTGGAAGCCGGCTCCGGAGCTCAGAACCTTAAGTGTGCGCTGTGGGCTTTGATGGGGTTGATAAAATGTGGTTTCAAATGTTGCCCCGAACGAGGCCGGTTTCCTGTCTGTGTGTGGAGTGGAAGGATCGCGCAGGGTGAGTCCAGCGCGCGGGGGAGCGGCCAAGGGAGTTGGAGAGAGCGAGCAAAGGCAGCGGGCGCAGGGAACCCTGGCCAAGGGAGTCCTTCACCGGGTCACTGAAAGGGGGAACCAGGTTGAGACCAAGACCCCCAAGCAAAGAAATGGGGGCAGGGGTGATGAGAGAAGAGAGGTTACAAAGTCCCCAAATCCGGGCAGCCTGCGCAGGGGGGGAAAGGGCTGGCCAGCCTCGCGGCACCCCTATTCCAAAACCCAGGAAACTTTCGCTCGCCGCCTCTGACCCTCTTCCTGCGAAGGCATAAAGTGAACTTGCTCAGATGCTTGATTCTCCTAGCTGTTCAGTTCCTTTTCCTTTTCTCATTGAGTTTCTTTTCGGGCGGGTCTTAGTGTGAACAGCAGCCGTGTGTCCTCAATTCTATATAAGCACGCACACACATCTCCTAGGTACTTTGTGATCTCATCTGGAAAAATTAAAACCCAGATCTGTAATGTTTATTCTTAGATAGTTTACAGAAAGCAGGAAATGTGTGAGACACATGCCTGCAAATACAACAAAAAGCATTTTGCCTTCTGGAAAAAGTTGCCTACAAATGGCTGGCTCCCTTTGCCCATTCTGGACCACCTGTACTTCCCTGGAAAACTAAATCGGGTCACTAATAAAGCACTAATCAGATCAAGCAATTAAATACCAATTATGACTATAAATGACTTTATTACTAATGATTGGAATTGAAGACTCCAAACCCAGTCAAGGTAATCAAGCTGTTTAAAAATTCTGCTACCTAAGATTTTTACATCACTCTTTCCTCAAAAAAAAAAAAAAAAAAAAAAAGAGGTAAGAAGACCAGAGATTACGTTTCAAGTTTGCCAGTAGGTATCCATGGACGCTGTTCAATTTATTTCTCCCAGTAAAGTGTGTAGCTACTCTTGGTAAATAATGAGGTCTTCCTTTCTGGCCCTTTCAGGTTATGCAAAGTGTAATTGATGATGGTAGTTACAATATACTTGGTTTGGATGTGAACCTGAGGTAGGGGGTGTGTGTGTGTTCTCTGTCCAATTAGTCCGTTATTGCTGAAAATCCTAGAAGATTGTAAAGAATAAATGTTTTAACTCTTCAGATGGGGTAATGGCCATAGGGAATGCTGGGAGGTAAGGAAGTGAAGGATGTTGAACGCAAAAAGAGCAAGACAGAAATAAGAAATGTGGTCTACCTTTTTAATTTTTCTTTTTGCTGGTGTGTTGAGATGGCTTTGTTGTGTCGTAAGCCAAGTGACTGAAAAAGAAAAGGTTATTGAGAATAGTTTATCAGTTTAAAGGTGACTGTGTGGCTGGGTTTATTTATTAATAAAGAGGATTTGCTACTGCTTTTTGCTCTTTATGGACAATCTCTTGTTATCCCAAATGGAAGTCCGTGCTCAGCTCCTCAATGGGAGGAGACAGGGAATAAACTGCTGGTAGAGTTCACAACAAGAAAAAAGGGGGAATCTCGTAGGAGCTCCTCTGCCACCCAGAAGCAGGCAGGCTAAACACTGGGCAGTTGGAGGGGCCAGCAAATCAGCTTGATGTAGGTCACCTCTTCCAGGACGCTGGATGTGTTTGGGGCACTGTACCTCAATACCATCTTGCTCAGGACATCTGCCCAGTACCTCAGCTCCTGGGTGGAACTTCATAGCAATTGTACACATCTGGGTTTGATATATTTACCAGGCTGGTATGGAAATGCCCAGGCTGCCTGGCAGAAACCTGAACTGCTTGAGATGAACACAGTCCACAGCTCAGAAGCCATAAAAGTTTTGACAGTTTCAGAGGATGGAATGGCCTCTTTCCCTTGATGTGATACACACAGCCTTCTCTTCATTTCTACTTACTCAGAGTTCATTGCTCTGAATGGGGCATACCACACCTAAGATCAGCCAGTAAATAATGCAGGGAAGGAAGAGACCCACTGCAGGTAATGGGATGGCATGGGATTACCTTGAAAACTCCAATGGCCACAAAAACTCATTGGAATGAAATGGGACTGGGGTATTCGATCTTCAGTGGTTCCCAAGGAACAAATCTCTTTGGCCTGATCCAGGTTGTTGGCAATCTACGTGTACTCTGAGCCCTGAAAGCAAAACTAATATCCTTTCTATATATGAGCGGCTGACCCTAAAAGCAGATCTTAACTAGAAAGCTTCATGTTAACAGTAAATTCCCTTCTGTGCCTAAGTACCCCGGGGCACCCTGAGAATAAATTTACTGTTGAACCTGAGGACCTCAAAAAAAGGAGGCAAGAGACCGGGACAGGGTTCTCATAACTTCCAGCAAGAACTTCCTGTCAACAACTCCAGTTTAGGGCCTACTCACCACTAAGTCTGGGGTGGGGGTGAGGAATGGCTTGGAAACAGGATGAAACTAGTTGGTTGTTCTTCCCTGGATTAGGAGTAGACAAACCTGAGGCAATAAATCCCCTTAGATGGGGAAGGATGGAGGGGGAAGCTGCCCTAAGTATATTGTCCCTGTGGACCAATCTCGCTGTATTCAAAGAAAGACCAGAGATATCCCAAAGTGCCCAGGAAAACTGCAGAATACTAGAGGTTGTTCTGTTCCTTAAACCCTGCCACGAGCTAGCATCTCCTTAGAAGGTCCATATCAGTCAGGTCTGAAGACCTGCTTTCTCAGGACACATGGCTTGAGAATCTGGGGAGAGTTGGAGGCAGATTTCCTCCACTTACAACTTATTTGAAAATTGACATATAAAGAGGAAAGCAAAACTCTGCTCCGAAATAGGGCCCCCATGGTGTCAGAAAGCCTGTCCACTCCTAGTGCACCTTAACATCCCAGTCACCCCCTGGTGGGTGGCCCTTACACATTTTTCAGGATGTCAGGTAAACTGAGAGAAAGAGGTTGATCTATCCTCAGCAACCCAAGAAAATGCAAATGAGTTTGTTTCCTAAAAGGAAATTTTTACAGCTTTAAACTTTTCCCAGCCAGAATCCACCCAATTTCATCACAGTCTCCTGTCAGCATCCAGAACCTACTCCACTCTTTTCCCTTTCTTCTTTGTGGCTTAAAGTTGCATTTAGGAGGGTTTATATAATGTTGTTCATGTCAGCACATCTCCTGGTTCCCACTCTAACCCAGCTCCTTGTATGGAATCGTACTTGGAAACCACACACATAAAATCTTTAAAAAATTGTTTCTGCTATTCTTCCTGACTAGAAGAATTGACAAGACACAAACACAGTAAGTTCCATAAAATACAGTGGTCTGTGATCAGCCAAAATGCATCTCATTTGCACTTGTATGTAACCAGGGGTAGGAGACCATGTCACTCATTGCTTCCCAAATCTGTCCGCCAAGCCGGACTGACTAGCTGGAATTTCTAGCAGGGGTGGCAGGGTCATTTGTGAGGTGGGAGGCCCAGCCCAGCCCAGGCCAGCGGGAGGTGAGGGACCATCAGGGAGGTGTCTAGAGGCCTGGCCTGAGGGCTTGAAGAAGTCTGACCCTTGGCCCTCAGCAGTTCAGAGAGCTTGGAGGGTGGGTGCCCACAAGTGAGCTGAGGCCTGTAGCCATCCCTATGGCCTTCCACTGGGTTGAATTAAATCAAGGGGACACTTTAAAATAGAGGAACAGCTACCGATCATATTTTACACTCACATCCAACTGCTTCCCAAAGTTGCCTCTCACCACCCACTTTGTCACTGGGGGAGGAACACCTATGCTTGATGGATTCTTGCACCTGCTTCTAATCCTGAATTTGGACTCTGAGCTGCTTACTGCTCACCTGTCCTCCGCTGAGCCCCAGTCCTGGGCCCACAGGTCCCGGGAGCAATCGCCTTCCATCAGCACCAAGGGGAGTGTGCCAGCGGCAGGAGGAGCGTCAGAATCCAGTGGGGGAGTGGGGCGACGTTACTGGTCCTATAGGGTGTTTTTTCCCCCCTTCTTTTTCTTTTATTCGCCAATTCACCAATCACAAGGATTTAAACCCTGAGGGTCTCCCAGTGCTAAAGGGCCATTTTCTACCCGCTAATTCCTACGGCGTAGTTGAACGCCTGGGCTGCGCAAGGGCTCAGGGTCACAGCCAGAATCGAGTGGCGGTGTGGGGAGTGTGGTAGCGGGGCGGGAGAAACTGGGGATCCTCCGAGAACCTCAGAGGGAGTCCAGGGCAGAGTGCGCGAGCTGAACCGCTGGGCAGTGCCCACCTAGCTGGCGCGCGTCGTGGGGGCATCCTTTCCTTCCCGGCTGGCCCAGGCCGGGGTGATGCAGATACCCTGCCAACCCCGCAAGCTCCCTGCTGCTCCAGCCCTCTTCCTCTCGCCCAGCAGGAAGGCCTGCATCTCCAGGCCAGACTGCAGTCCGCGACTGTCCCAGGGCCAACCAAGGGCGAGGCCAGCTGCCCAACCGGGCCATCGCCTCACTGAGCCGCCCGGGCGGGCGGGGCGGGGGTGGGGGTGGCCATCGACAAAGCCCTGAGGGCTCAGGCACAGCCACCCACAGGAGCTCGGTGGAGACCTGCGGGGGACCGAGGTCCCAGAGGCTCGGCAGCCAGCCTCACAGCGTTGATGGCCCTCAGACGTTTGCGGAGCCCGAGGGGAAAAAACTCCACCGGCTCCACGTCCTGGGAGCCGGGATACGCTTACAAGGTGTGCGATCTTCAGAGATCCTGGGTGGTAGTTTTGCACGAAGCCTTTGTTACAGCTTTGTCGGCGTGTGTGCCTTCAACTGCTCCCCCTCTCGGCCCCTCGGTTCCTCCCTCCCACCCCGCTGCTGCGGAAAGGGCCCGACGCAGGGGATCTGCCCTAAACAACTGCCCCCCTTCTAGATCCCCTCCTGCAAAAAGGCTCGTCCCTTGCTTTCAATCTGTCCTTCATGCCTGGGGTAGATAAACACCATCGGCACCGCCTGTGCCTTTGGGGCCAGCCTCTCCCGGAAGAACCGACTCTCTGAATGTGACCTCGGGCTGCGGCAGGCCAGCACAACCCTGATGCTGGTGAATGAGTAGCTCTTCTTGCCACCGCAGAGGTGATTGGGGTGGGCCTCGCTGGGCGAACCCGGGAGGGAGTAAACTGCCCTCCCAGGGCAAGGATTTGACGATTCCGACAGAAAGAGCTGGTTGAGGATGACACAGCTTTATACTAACCTGGCTTGTACTGGCCACAGGGCACCAGGTCCCAGTGCTCTTGAGTACAGTTGCTTCCACCCAGTCCCCATATTCAGTGTGTCTCTTTCTTACCCAAGGTGAACTCCAGGCAGGCAGGCTCTCTGGAGGATGCTCTGACCCACCAGAAAGTGGAAATATAACCGTTCCTATGCACACCAACTCACATGTGCGTATCATATATGGCCTCACAATCTTCTTCTTTGATTTGTCTTCATGTCTCCCTTCCAGACCTCTACGCCTGCACATAGTCATTTGGAGACAATCAAGTGTGTGCATCTCTCCCAGCAGAGGGTTCTGTGTGTTATGTAACACACTCACATGGGGATGCCTCAAGTTACCATTTTGCCCCAAATCTTCTAGCACTTGGGTTTTCTAGCAGGGGGTGTCAGGGTGATGCAAGTGGAAGTGGAGGCTTCATTCCCTGGGGGGCTTTTATTCCCCTCCTTGAAGCCCCAGTTCAAGGCCTAGGAACAAAGGGGGAGAAGTTAACTGATCTCTATCTTTTGGTCTCTCTCTCCCCTCAAGTCCAACCCCCTCACCTGCAGGCCTTCTCTTTGATACATTGGGGAAAGCTGTGGGATCAGGTACCTAAGTAAATACTGCTGACCTAGGCCAGGCCCTTCTCACTGAACAGCAGAAAGCCCATTTTAGGAGCTGAGTGCTCAGTCCTTGGCTTAGCCCCTCTTCCGCTCCCCCAGTCTGTGGGGGAACTCAAGGCTGCCTAACACCTTCTCTTGTTACAAAAACACCCAGGACAGGCCTGAGGGTGTAGCTCAGTGGTAGGGTGCCTGCCTAGCATGTGCAGGCCCTGGGTTTGATCCCCAGCACCATAAATAAACATATAAAGAAATACAACTTTTTCAAAATCCAGGACAAATATTAAATGGTTTTGGAAGAATTAAAGACCTTTCTCTCAGGGTTGAAACATTTTCAAAGCCCTGCTTGGCAGAAACCTTCATGGTGTACAAAGTAGAAACAGCAGATCTGCTGGAGCAATCCTGAAATTTGAAAGATTTCTCCTCCAAAAATGTAAATTAAATATACTTTGTAGGTGCTATTTTGTTTGCTGATGGCTTTTTCACTATTGTAACCCAAAGATTCTCAAGACTAAGCTACTAGGACATTTATTTTCATTTTGTTAGTTTCTGGGTGATACTATACTTTCTGATTAGTCCTTTTGAATGTATCTTTAACTCTGCAGGGGAGTTTTCAACCTTAGAGATGTAAATGCAAAATAGACTCCCTCCCTCTGTGATCCTTACAGTAGCAGTTTGGAACCAACCTGCCTAGCCCTTACTGCACCTTGACATTGTCCTATCTGAACCTAGGCAGTGAGGGTGGTGGGTTGTGACACCTTTTATTTCAGTACTGGCACAAAAAAAAAAAAAGGCTTTGAAATGAATATCTATTCTATTTCAGTGTGCACTGACTGTTCCGGCCAACTAAATGGGCTTACCTTCTGCTGAGAGGCAGTCCTGGGGGCAGAACTACAGTGTGATCTCTCAGGAAGCTCTTCATCAAAATATCTCTTGTCCTTTTTTAAAAAATAAAATTTATTTTAAAAAGTTTGTGCCTCTCTTTCAGTGTTTGTCCCATTATTTGGTAGCTACAATATGAAACATGAGCATCAGTGATCATTCTTTTTGTCCTTTTGTAACCATGTCTAGTAGTGGGAACTTACAAAGTTCCAGACAAAATTCAGGTGTGTTTCATACTTTTCATGTTTAAATAAAACTCACTGGGGCACCCAGAAAATTCACACTTGGTTATGGCTTCCTTTGGCCAGCTCTTCCCCAAACAAAACTCCTCTCTCAACTTACAGGAGGTGAAGACTCACTTAGAGAAAACTTCCTGAATTCAAACAGCAGACTCAGGTGCTATAAATAAAGGCTCCTAGCTCTCCTGGTGACCAGGAAGCCCTCTCTAGCATGGTCCCTGGGCATAACTTTTCTCAGAAAGGAAGTAGTCCAACGGGCATTGTCCACAGACATTTTAAAAACTATAACCACAGAGTAGGTTTTACAGATAACAATTTTCATAGATTCTCAGCCAGCTCCAGCTGTCTAAATTTTAGTTTTGTTCACATGTAAATCACACACATACCAACTAGGGCCACATTACCAGCTCCTTTCTACTGGGCAACTCTGATGACAGCAACCACAAGCAACAAACTTCTTTTCTGAAGAGTCAAAAAGAAAACAAAACTATCAGCATGTATTTTGATTAGCTTACAGTGTGGAACATCATGGACAGGAACTGGCCAGGTAGTTTAGCTTCATTTTCAAGAAACAGGTAGGATAACCACTCTCCTTCCTTTCCCCCAAGCTCCAGCTATTTTGGAGCTTTCCAAAGGGAAGGAAGAAAGGAAAAGTTCTATTAATGAATTACATACATGGAATGTGGCTTGTCTAGGGCAATTGTATTTGTAAATAAATGGTTTCCTGTGTACTGTGTATGTTTTACTGGCAAAGGAACTAGGAGCACAGCCTAATACAACAAATACTTCAACTTAAGACTTGTTTCAGTTCCATTGTTATTATTTTTGTACTCAATAGAAAGAAGCCGGAGTCAACTGAGTCAGTTGTGAGGTTTCCTATTCCTAAGTGTCCAGGATGACCCAGAGACATGTCATTTCTAAAGTTCCCCTTTTAACAAAGGTTGTTGCACTGGGGGTTGGCTCTCTGGGAATGTTAGCAGAATCAATGTAGGGTTTCACTTTTGCCCCTGGATCTTTCTAAAGCTAACTACGGCCTGTTTTTACAGCTTTAGAAGCGAAACCGGCCAGCAATCTCATTGGCCCGTGCATTGGGCACAGACCAGTGCATTGGGCACAGACCAGCGGATTGGCATCTCTGCCTGACCTTGCCACCGGAGCCCGCACATGGCATCTCAGTATCACCCTGCAGGTCTGGGGCCCACAGTCCCCGGGCAGGGAAGGGGGGCATGGGGAGTGTCCAAGCCCTGATCAGAGAACAAGCAGCCTACCTTGGTGTGGCACCGAGTTTACCACCGGCGGGAAGCTGAGCCTGAACCAAGAGCCCAGGGCTATTCCTTGAATTCCATGGCCGAGGGCAGCGCAGGGCCTGGCAGCCCTTAGCTTCCACAAAAGCCTTCAGATGCCTCCTGTCTTATCCCTGCGCTGCCGTCCCAGCTGCTTAGACTGCGGTACACTCTCACACAATGCGACCTTTCTGCACAAGAGGCCATTCTGTTTTGACCCCTTCGGCACCCCCACCCCCACCCCAACTCGGACTGGAGCAAAGGCGTGCAGATTGGAACCTTTTTCTGAGTCAGCGCATCACCTTGCACACGCGGCATCCTTGGACAAGAGGCGCAAAGTCAGTCCCTCACATAAATAAATCTCAGGCTCTGGTCTCTGGGCTGGGCCACTCTTTGAAGACCCAAAGGGTCATGAGTTGAGCTCGATCTTTACTTTGTCCACAGTTCGAGGGCTCCAGAGCAACCAAAAAAAAAGATTTCTCAGACAGGCAGGGTCAGCCCGGCCCTGTGAACACAGCCCCTCTGAACTCCACAGTCGGCAGAGCCGGAGGCCGCAACTATTTTCCGCAGAGAAGCGACACCACTCCAGAACGGAAAATCTGCAGATATGGAGCGGAGGGCCACAGGGTTTTCTTACCTTACTCCCCACAAGCCTCCCCAAAAGTTCTGGCCAAATCCTTGGAACTTAAGCCACTTCGGCCTTCAGCAACTGCCCCAAACTTCCAAGGAAACTTTCTGAAGTTTCCTTTGCTATTTCTCCAGCCACTGGGCTTGTCCATTACTCTCCTAACTGCTTTTTAGACCCTAGGGCTCCCAAGGCCTTGACATTTCCACCACCACCACCACCACCACCACCACCACAACAGTTATTGGGTGAAGAAGAAGAACAGGATCAGAGGGTGAGGGGGTTTTGGGGGAAAGAACAGAAATGTTGATGAAAAGGGATATTTCAACCTGTGCTTCAAAAAGGTTTCAGTTGACAATTATCAGTAATCCCGATAGACAACTCCATTAAAAAAAGAAGAAGAAAATTTACTACTGCTCTTGAAAGCCGTTATTTTTTACATCGCTTTTAGGAAGATAGATGAACAAAACATCGCGTTTCAAGCCATTTTGATCTGTAATTAAATGGCAGGATCGGTTTGTATTCTCCTACGGCTTTTACAGAAGTTGCAGTGATCCAAAGTCGGGTTGCTGTGTCAGAGTGGCATTTTTATTAATGAGAATACAAAAAGCTTGCATATTCTTAGCCCTGCTTGAATTTAGTTGCTAAGCAACCGGTGTATGGTAATTCATCCGCGAAATTTAAATCTTTGAGAAAGGATCCTGCGTTTTGCTGAATGGTCGCCACGAGGAAAACAACTTGTGGGACCCGCGGCAGCTGCCACCGTCGGGCCTCCCGGCCGTGCCGGGCAGAGCAGGGACCCGGTCGCCCCAAGGCGACCGCCACCGCCCAACTTCCTCGCCCGGCTCTGCCCTCCCTCCCGGAGAGAAGCCGGCTTTGGACGCCCAAATGCCCCAGCCCCTCCCGCCCGTCTCTAGTGATCTCAGGGTTTCACCCCAGGCAGGCCCTACACCTGACCAAGTCGCCTGCATCCCTAGGGCATCTCAGTCCAGTCTGCGAATTTCCGCATCCCTCTCCCCTCGCGTGCACCCACATGCACTCACGCACGCGCGCGCGCACACACACACACACATTGTGCTGTGGATAATGCCTGTTGCCCTCTTCCCAGACCCCTCTGAGGTCACTTCCAGAGCCGACTCTTCCTCGAGGAAGACCGGACTCATCAAGAACGCAGCCCACAGCCCACCAGAAGGCCAGGCGGCCGCCGCTGGCCGGCAGTGACATCATAGGCTCCTGCTCGCCAATCTCGCGCCCACATTTTAGGATACAGGAACAAACACGGATGTGAAATCAAGAATGAAAGAGAGAGTAATCTAATTAATAGGCCATGAGCCAGGCTAACAAAATCAAAGAATCTGATTACACAAGTACCCCTCTTGCTATCTCCGCTGCCCCCACCCCCAGCTCTTCCAGACTCCTTGCTATTTCCTTTCCTAGACTAGAAAGTTCAGGAGGTAAAAGCAGAGCCCTCCGATTTCCTTATTGAAATCAAGATCAAGCCTACCATGGGGCTCCGGGAGCCAGGAGGTCATGTGGATGACCTTCAGGCCCTGAGACCAGCAGCCCTGAGGAACGGAGATGACCAAGTAACCTGCAAAACTAGGAGGGCTGAAGAGGCAGCCCCACACTTCTTAGATGCCTCACTCCTAAGAACAAGAGCAACACCTGTAGTGATTACTTATGCTGTCAGCAGCAGGACAGGAGAAAGGGGTTCTCCACTCACAGTCATTTTAAGAGTTTTTGTTTTGTTTTGTTTTCTTTTCTTTTGTTTCTTACCTGGCACTACTCTTTCTCCTACATTGCCTTGCCCCTGGTCACCAATAACCTCAAACTCTCAAGTCTCTTTCAAGTCCTGTTCCCAGCATAGAGTTCTGAGCACAGTCAGGTATTAGGTGTTATCACTGAAACATAGAATATGCTCTAACTGGTGGGGGTCAGCCACCTGCATTTCATTCAAAAAGAAAATTCTTTAATTTCTTTCTCCCTTAAAAAAAAAAAGCAGATCCACTTTCTAAATAAGTAATTTCAAGTCTGCATTCAGTGCCAATACTTGTTGCATCCATTTTAGAGTTGATTAATTACCCTGGAACTTGGGCAAACTAAACTCCATGTGGAGAGAAGGTTTCTTCCTTCAATTTAGTCCTGAAAGCTACAAGTTACTGATGGATCTTACTCTATTTACATACAAATTGGTACAAATATGCCCATCTCTTAAAATGCATTTTGTATAGATATATAAAAGTGTCATTTTTGATTTAGCTTGAAGAGGTTGATCATTTATTACAAAAATAAACGAATAAATACAACAATATATTGTTGCTTCCAACAGGATAAATACTTTACAAATATATAATTTAAAAAACAAATTTAATTGTTAAAATTATTTAAAATATTACACTTATCGATAAAACTATCAATAGTATATACTGCATTTGATATTAGAACCAATTATTCTCTGAATGTTGAAAACCATTCATACAAAACAGATTATGAGCATAGTAATCAGCAAACACTGGAGACTACAGGGAAGCGGAGGGAATCTCTAAGATTGATAATGGACAGTTCTATTTTGGAACAAAGAAATACAGTCCTTGGCTAAGTACTAAGAAAAAAAGGTAGGGCAACAAGAGCAAAGTGACTGTTTTAAAACACACCTTGAATGATTTATCACACAGATTGCTAGGAGAAGATGGTTGGGTGAATGAGATGACCACAGCTTGGACAACTGATGAAGAGCCACAGGCTACTGTAAACTATAAATGGGCCTGGTTTGGGATTAGCCAGTCTGATGGGACAGAACTTTGTCACTTTCCTTTGGATTGGAAGGGGAGGTGGGGGATGGATTGAAATGGAGGAAACAAACGGGCACTTTTACGAAGCACAAGACACTTGCGCTGCAAAGGAACACAATGACCAAATTCATTAAAAAGATCTGCTGATATATAACAATATTTTCATTATTTACATGTGTAACAATATAAGCCTTAGCACAAAACCTCAGTTACATCTCTCCTCTTTTGTGTTTCAACCATGAATTTCATTTTATAAATACATTCAAAGGTTGATTAAGAAAAAAAAATGCAACAGAGTCCAAGCATTAGCTCACTTTATAAAATGCAAAATAATGAAACCAAATGGACTTGCTTGTCCAGCTTCTCCAATTAAAAGTTACTCTGCTACCCCCAAATCAGGGCTTCTTCCAAAGTAATCAGCAAAGGTTGCTTTTTAATAGAAAACAGTGTGAAATCTAATGTTAGCTCTTTTGTTGTCAGCTAAATCAAGTAAGAAGATACCTCCTAAAATTTTAAATAGACCCACTCCCTGTCTAATCAAGCACCACTATCCCAGCAGAAAAAAAACAAAACAAAACAAAACAGGATTCTATCTGATGTGCCAGGAGTGCACACCACATGCAAACGACCTGCCCAATTCTCAGCTTTCCAGAGAGGCCTTCTTTGCTCACCCCTCCAGACCCTCAAAAAATGATGAACTTCACCCCACCCCCACTCCAGGTTGCAGATTCCCTGGGCTGGGCCATTACAATAGCAAGAGAAATGAAACAGGGAGGCAAAGAAAAGTAAATTGTAGTTCCCTGTCTTCATTTTTTTTTCTATTCTCTGTTCAATAAATATGGCCTTTTTCAGATTTCACAAATCAAAATGATTGTGATTTTTAGTATGATTTGGTGTTTAAAATAATGCCACCCAATACATGGCCATCTGGCTGGGCTTGATTGATGAAAGTGACACAGGGCCTGTCTAAGAGAAATAACTGTTCCTTGTTTCTCTCACAGTTTTCCGGGATTTTTTAACCCCTGCATCGATGATATCACAGGCAAAGGGAGTGAAGATGAGAGAAGTAGGCAAAGAGTGACAGTTAAGTGAGATGGAGGGAAACTGGTCTATAAAATCATTGCTTTCTCACCCTTGAGTACTTAAACAAACAAACAAACTCCAATACATAGGGAGTGAACCCAGTAGAGCCTCTGCATCTTTAGTACCCACAACCTAAGGCATTACTTTCATTTTCCCACACTAGAAATATTGATACACTAACTTGATGTGATCACTCTGCAGGGTTTACCTAAAAAGTGACCCCCAAAAGCTAAATCCCAGCACCAGTGAAGAAGACAAGAAGTCACACTGGGGAAAGACTGACTCACAGAAGTCTGAGCTGCTAACACAAAGATGGTCTGCAGTATGGACCAAAAGCAGGGATTGGGAACTATATTCTTTCATTACATGAAAAACAAAACAAAACAAAAACAAAAACAAAAACAAAAAAACCCAAAAGCAAAAAAACAACAACCCTCAAACAACAGGAAAACTCAATAATTTAAATTTAATTACATATAGTGATAGGAATTGATATCAAAATATTTTATAGATTTATAAGCTATTCTTTAAAACTATTAGTCTTCAGAAAAAGAGAAGAGATTTAATATGTTGGGGGTAGAAAGAAAAAGGAAAGGCTGAACTCAGGAGGGCTATATTAACCATTAATGACCAGTTGGCACGTTTTTACTGGTGATATAGTCCAATCATTCAATAAAGAACACAGGTAACTTCAAGAAAAGGGCTCTAGCATTTACAGATAATCTCACCTAAAAAACATTAAAGTCACCCAGTAAAATTAAGGGAGAGAAAAATATTGTGAAATTTATAGATTAACAAGGAATGACCACTATGTTAAAATGCCAGCTGTTTCAGTAATGCCTTTACTCTTAATTTCCAAACTTGCCCTTAAGTGGAACAGGCGCTATTTCCTTAACTTAAGGATTTGTATAAGTAAAAAAAAAAAAAAATTTCTAGAGAACTCTGTTTCTGCCCACACAGTGTTTACGCATCAGACACAGACTATTTCATTCTAACAAATTTATTTTCTCGATCAGCTCTTACGGAATCACTACTCAAATTAAATTACAATCAAATGATCACATCAAAAGATACCCTTATTACCTAACAACTGTCCATATTTTCATTTCATTTTGATTTGTGCTCGTCTGAAAAAAACAGGTAATACAAGATCTGGGGAAAAATAAATTACCGTTTTGCAGCAGTTCATAAGTATTCTGAATAAAATATTAAAAGAAGTCATTTAATGAAAATATAAAGCAAATATTTTTAGATCAACAACGGATCTAACAATTCTATATTGCCGTCTTTTGAAAAGTCTGTTTATTAAAACCTACCAAAAACACTGCTTGGAAATGGCAGTATTATATAATCACATCCACAGCACCCATTCAATCAAAGTTGGCAACGGATTGAGGACAGAAGTCAAGAGAAGTGCAGCGGCTGGTGCTCAGTCTTTCTAAATCCCTTTATCTGAGTCAGTCCAGAAATAAAAAATAAAAAATATTAATAAAAAAAATATTAGCGGTGGAATCTTTAGGCATGATGGTCCACCCCAACGGCTGCCGGCAAAGCCGGGGTCGGTGGCTGGGCCTCCGCTCCCTGTCAGCCCAACCGCGCTGGACTCAGCCAGCCCCGGGCCTCTGGCCACTTGCGGCCGGACGTCCGGATCTCCCTCGCCCATCCTCGGCTCTTTCGCGTTGCTTTTATTTCCAAGGTTACTTTGAGGATACTTTCTTTTGGCTTTGCTATTCAGTCTGTTAATTTCAGAAGCTGTGAATCTGTCTTTGCCTCGAGACTGTTTTTCCCCCTCCTTCCCATTTCATCGTTGAGTTGCCACTTCCCAAACGACTTTAAAATGGCCAAGAAAAACAGGGTCCTGGAGCACAGAGTTAGACCCCCGAGGAGATCTGGTGCTTGCTTTCAGGTCCCTCCGAGGAGGGAAAGTTTCCGCGCAGCTCTTAGGCAGCCCTTTGGGAGGAAGTGGAAGAAAGAGGGGGGCTCTTTCTCTCTCTTTTTTAAGAGAGGAGGCCGAGGCAGGTGCTGTCCACCGCTGCCATGTAGGACATCTCAGGGTGGGTACACCTTAAGAGTGCAGTTTTGGTGCTGTAGGCAAAGTCACCCTTCTTTAAAATAAAAAAACAAAACACCACCACAGCACAGACGGGATCTCACGGTTGCCCCTTTTCCTCTTCAGGTTTTGTTTGTTATGTGTGTATATAAAACAGTCTGGGTATTTATTATGCTTTTTTTCATTTTTTGGTCCCTCCTTCCTTGGACTTCAAAAAAATGTCTCCTTGGTCCTTTTCTCCCTCGTCTTTTCCTCCAAGGGCATGCCTGTCTGTCTTTGGGCGGAGGGGAGGGCGGCGGATGCACCCAGGCTGGGGCCCGGTGCGGCCCAGGTGCAGGGTCAGCGCGGCAGCAGCGGTGGTGGTGGCGGCGGCACGGCGACGACGGCGGCGGCGGCGGCGGCGGCGGCAGCGGGGGTGGTGGCGGTGCTGACTGCGGCTGCGGAGGCGGTGGCGGAGGCGGCGGCCCTCTTCGCACTGCGCCCTTGGCCTTCACTGCACGCTCGTCTGCAGCCCGTGGTGCGGTGGTGGGGTGTCGGCGCTCACGGTGCCTACCTGCGAGTAGACGTCGTCCGGCGTCTGTTGTTGGATCCCGGGCGGTGTCATGCGCTTCTCTTTCTGGCGCCGGTTGCAGAACCAGACCCGCACTACCTCTTTCTCGAGTTGCAGGCTGTCGGCCAGGTTGGTGATCTCCTGCGCCGAGGGCTTGGGGCACTTGAGGAAGTGGCTCTCGAGCGCGCCCTTGACGCTCACCTCGATAGAGGTCCGCTTCTTGCGCTTGCGGCCCTGGGCCGCGATCTTGTCGATGCTGGTGGGGCTGCCAGTGCTCGAGTCCGCCTCCTCCAGCCACTTGTTCAGCAGCGGTTTGAGCTTGCACATATTCTTGAAGCTTAGCTGCAGGGCCTCGAAACGGCAGATGGTGGTCTGCGAGAACACGTTGCCGTACAGCGTGCCCAACGCCAGCCCCACGTCCGCCTGCGTGAAGCCCAGCTTGATGCGCCGCTGCTTAAACTGCTTGGCGAATTGCTCCAGGTCGTCCGACGTTGGTGTGTCCTCGTCCGAGTGCGGGTCATGGCTGTTGAGTCCGGGCCCGGCGCCACCGCCGCCACCATGGTGCGGGGGTCCTTGCGCGTGGTGCGGGTGCGGCGGGTGCGGGTGTGCGTGATGGTGGTGGTGGTGATGGTGTTCGGCCAGCTCCGGTGTGTCCCCGCGCACCAGCCCTGGGTGCACTAGGCTCTGGGCGCCGCCACCTGCGCCGCCGCCGCCTCCTCCGGGCCCTGGGGGTGCGCTCAGCATACCGTTCACGGTGAAGCCCCCGGGCTGCGAGTAGAGTAGACTCTGAGGTGGTGGTTGCTGTCCCCCGGCCATGGACGGGAGGTGGGCGGCGGCGGCTGCGGCTGCAGCGGCGGCGGCTGCAGCAGCGGCAGCCCCCCAACCCCCGGGGTGGCCCTGATGCGGGGGCGGCGGTGGGGGTCCTAAGTGCGGCGGCCCGCGGTGGTGCAGCGCTGTGCCGGCGTGCAGGTCATCGCGCCCGGCGCCACCCTTCACGTCGGGGCCCTGCGGTGGTGGCGGCGGCGGCTGCGGCGGCTGCTGGGGGCTGCCCGCCATACCCACCGCGCTGCCCGACCACGGCGAGCTCGCCTCTACCGCGGCGGCGGCGGCAGCGGCGGCGGCGGCGGCGGCGTGGGGCAGGGCCGTGACCCACTGGTGCGCGTGGCTCAGCATATGGCCGCCGTTGCTGGCGGCCATGGCCCCCTGCATGAAGTCACTCTGGACCATCTTGACCGAGGACGGGTCCCCCCGGTAGGCGCCCGAGGTCACGGCGGCGCTCCCCGGCTGCATGCCGCCGCCGCCGCCCCCTGCACCTCCCCCGCCACCGCCGCCACCGCCACCTCCGCCGCCACCGGCCCCTGCCGCATCCGAGTGCACAATGGAGCCGGCCGCGAGCAGGCTGTTCCCCGGCAGGTAGGGGTTAGAAGCCGCCGTGGCCATGCCGCTCCGCTCCCGCCACCCCACCGCCGCCACCACCGCCGCCGCCGCAGCAGCAGCCGCGGCCGCCGCCGCCGCCGCCGCCGCCGCGCCCCCCCGCCTCCCGCCTCCCGCCTCCTCCCCCCGCTCCTCCTCCCCCGCCCCCGCCCCGGGCCCCCGCCGGCCCCGCCGCCTTCGCCGCCGCCTCCTCCTCCGCCGCCTCCGCCCCCGCCGCCGCCGCCGCCGCCGCGGTCCCGGGCTGCAGCTGCAAGGCCGCTGGGCAGGGCGCGGGGGTCGCCGGCCGGCCTTGGTCAGCAGCAACAGCAGCAGCAGGAGCAGCGCTCTGGGGAGGGGGACTCGCTTCTCGGGGCGCGCTCCGTGGCCAGCCCTTTCAGGGGGGGTCGTGGCCGCCCCCCAACCCCGGCGCGCTCGGCTTGCTCCAGCGGGGCTCACCAGGCGGGGCGGGGACCTGCACTTGGGGCGCTCTCCCGGGGCGCGCGGGTACCCGCTCCTCCTCCTGTCCTCCGGCGAGCGCGGACTCTGCCCTGCCGCGGGGCTCAGTCCACCTGCTAAGTGAAGGTTCAGGGAGACAACAAAGAAAGAAGCTGTCCCTTTCTTCCTTGGCCAAATTATGGATAACCAGCCACCGGCCCGCTCCTTTCCTGGTCCGCTCTCTTCTCTCCTCCTCAGGAACACACTTCACTCGTTCTGCCTTAGAGTAGTAAAACTTTTCTCGTCCTTGAAGGCGTGGTGATGTTGGCTGTTCTCCTGTGTGGAGAGGGGAGGCTGGCTCCTGTTCTCCCCCTCTGGTCCTGTCGTTTCAAGTTTTGTTCTGTCCTAGGAAAACTTCTTGCGATGGTGCATTTCTCTGAAGTTGCTATTGCCGGAGCTCTAGGTTGCCTCTGAAACAAGAGTCCTTTTTCATTCTCCTCGCAACAGTCACAGTCTGATGCGACATTTTTCCTTTTGGGCAGAAATTAGGAAACAAATATAACAAGGAAAAAAAATTGAACAGGCAAAAAAAAAAAATGATGTCGAATTGCTCTGTTACCTTGTTGCTGACGGTTGGGGTTGGTGTTTTATTATTTTCCCAGCAGTTGTCTGGAGGAGGAGGAAGAAGAGTGCATTGGTGGAGGTGGAGGTGTGTGTGTGCATATAGGGGATCCTTGATACACAACCAACTCCCGTGGGCACGTTGCGCCGCTCCCAGAGTGCACCGACGGCGGGCGCTGGCGCTGGCCGTGCCGGAGCAGAGTTGCAGCGGGAGCTTGCTCTGCGCCCTCGTTCGCGCTCTCTCCCTCTCTCACTTTCCCCTCTCCCTCCCTCTCTCTCTCTCCTGCTCTCCCTCTCTCGGGCGCCCGCTCTCGCTCCGATCTGACAGTTCGCTCTCTGTCCCTCCCTCTCAGAGCAGGGACTGTAGAATGTTTACCCTCCGCCGCGAGCGCGCACCCACCACCACACTTTCCCAAATACAAGGAAGTCGAGCACCAGGGCCCCCGCTGATTGGCTACCCGCTGGGTGATTGGCAGGCCCGGAATGACTGGCTCAGGACGCGCGGCCCCCCTTCCGGCCGTTCCGATTGGTTGCTTTTTAATTTAGGCAGAGCGTCGTAGAAGCTGGAAATCTGTCGTCCCCCAGTCTCCCTCCCCCTCGCCACTTTCCCCTCCCTGCCCCTCCCCCTCCGTCCCCTCCGCCCCCTCCGCCACATCTTAACTCTTAGTGTCCGGCCCAAACGTTGGCGTTCCCTCGGAGGCTCTAGGCGTTCACGATAGGTCGGGGGGGGGGGGGGGGGAGAAAAAGGAGAGAAAGGGAGGGATGAGGCGGGAGGGGGGCAAATCAAAAAGCAATCGAAGAGGAAAAAAAATCACGAAAAACAGTAGTCTACGCATCCCACCTAGTATTGCGTTGTGTTGCAAACCCCCCCCCCCCCCAGCCTTCCAGCCCCCACGTCAGAGATTTGTAAAGCGCGCGGCATGGATGTACCATTCAAGATAATACCTATAGACAGATGTGTCCCCAGTGGTTTCAAAGTTTCCTCTTCCCTTCACCAGCCGGCCCCCATCCTCGTCTCGGCGGGGGTGGGAAGGGGGGGCTCGCCTCACCAAGAGCTCGGGTCGTGGCCACGCTCCTTGGAAATCCGCCACCGCAACTTTCTGCAGCCGCCGCGCGCCGGCGGCGGCCTTCTTTGTTTAAGTTCTCGGATGCCATCATCTGGGAAAACCTGCAGCCCAGGACCAGCGCGGTGCCCGCGCGTGCGAGACGGACCGCTCGCTGCCGCTGCTAGCGCTCTTCCCCACCCCCTCTCCCTCTCTCCTTCTCCCTCCCTCCCTCCCACCCACCCTCCTCTGGGATTCATGCAAGTAACGTGCGTGCCCTTGTGAGTTTGGAGGGTGCCGGTCAGCGGAGCCACGCGATGTATTTGAAAAGCAATCATTCCGACCTTCCCCCATAGATTCATCGTAAGTGTATTCGACCCCAATGCCTTTAGAATTCCTGTGGCAGCAGGAGTCGGCCCAAAGATCTGGGATCCACTAGCCGCGCCCTCCAGCGCTCCACCGCATACTGTGTGTGCATGTGTGTGTGTGTGTGTGTGTGCGTGCGCGCGTGTGATTTCAGTGTGATTATTATTAGTGGTGGGGTTTTGCTCCCTTGCTATTCTTAGGCATGATGGTGCTTTTTTCTTTCTTTTGCGTCTCGGATGGTTTTGCGTGGTAGATGGGAGCGGCGGCTACAAATGCTTTCTCAGTCCCAGCCCGGCAGAAAGAGTTAAGGGAGATGGGAGGGGGAGTACTCGGGGTAGGCGGGAGAAGCGGGGGTGGGGTGGGGTGGAGTGGGGGGACGCGGCCAAGCGGAAACGCTGCACAGAGGAACCTCAGCGAACCAAGAAAAAAGAGAAAGTGGCAACGAAAACAAGGGCAAATTGAACCCTCCTCGGGGATTTCCAATGAACTAACCCAATTCGGACATTCAATAAATACATGGTTCCTAATGAGTGTGCGTGTGCGTGCACCCAGCACCCCCAGCTGTGGGTGCTCCAGCCCTGCAGCCGGCAGTCCCGAGACCCAGCCGCGGCCCAGGACGTAGCTTTGGAGTAGTCGGTGTGCTCCGATTTTAATGTGAACGGGTGTGCCCTTCTCTCCCGATGCACAATTCCTCTGCCGAGTGCAGTTAGGTAAACTCAGTTAAAGCCGGAGCTCTCCAGTCCAGCAGCAGCAACGTAGCCTCTGCGTGATCTCAAGATTAACAGTAGACGCGTAGAATTTGTGTAGGATCTCGTCCAGCTCCTGCTTGCCGGGTGAAAAGATACCATCGTAGGTAGGTTGTAGCAAAGCCATTATTGTCAAGGTATAGATCTAAAAGGCAGTGGTAACCAAACCCCAAACAGAACGGATTTTTTTCCCCTCTGCGTCCCCCAAAGGTCCCTTTTTATATTTATGTATGCGTATATGTATATATAAAAGATGGAACACAGATTTCATTGAATAAATCTGAGATCTCCAGGTGCAGACGTTTGAATAGTCAGTGCCAGCACCCCGTGTTTTCCTTTCCTGCCGATTTTGCTTGGATCCGGCTCAAAAACCGAGAGAGTCTCGTGGTTTTGTTTACACTGAATGGGGAGGATAGGAACAGAGCCATGGGGCCGCCTTTCATTAATATACAGTGAGGATTTTGTCTAAATTACTGCTATGAATTTCACAGTACACGCTTTCAAAAGCAGTCTCAGGTGGCCTGATGAAACGTGATAGCGCCTCTGCAAACAGATCCACTTTCTTTCTTTCTTTGCAAGGAGGGTGTGTATGCTTATGGGAAGCCCCCCAAAACGCAGTGCTCCTCGATAACAGAAATGCACTTCTGTTCCGAGGTCTGTCCCCTTCTTACTCCCCCCTTTCCACGTACTTAGTTCTCGAATCGTTCCCCAGCCTCCCACCCCCGCCCCACCCCACCCCATCCACCCCCTCCCTTTGCGTAGTGTGATTGTTTTGTCTGGAAAAAAAAAATCCAAAGTATATAACAAGGGGAGAACAGTTAGTGCTGATTTTCATTTGCATACATTTTCATATATTTTGGTGAAAATAATAGACTAGTGAGAGCTGGGCTTAGAGGAGTCAGTGTAAAGGGAAGGCTAAGGATGCATCGGTTCTGGAGAGTTGAGAATATGCCTTTCCCTCCACCCCCCAAGGCACCTTATTTGAAAACAAAAACAAAACAAACAAAAAAAAAAACTTCTTTTATTTTTTAAAAAATCTAACCTTGGAAGTTTGCTCGGTAAGTGTTTTTCATTTTCTTTCCTTGCTTTCCTTTTTCTCTCCTTCCTTTCTGGTCTATTTATTTATATTCTTGTAGGTTTGGGAGCTTATTTTCATTGCTTGGGAGGAGAGGGTTCACAGAGCAACTGTCTGAGGAGGGAAGGGAAAGTACGTTGAGGGGGGAGTAAAAAAATCCAACCCTGCTAAAATATTGCGTAGAACTATGGACTCGTTCCAAAGAGCCACACACAGCAAGGCACTTTACTTTTTTGGGTGGGTGAGGAAGAGAGTGCTATTAATTTTAATTGTGAACATGAGGGGGAAAAAGCCTTGGAAAAGAAGTGATTATTAAGCATGCAGAATATGAATATTTCTTGTTTAGACTTTTTCTTCTTCTTCTTCTTCTTCTTCTTTTTCTTCAGAGAATCTGGACTAGAGGGGAAGAAACCCCTTTCTGTAGCTGGTAGTGATGTTCAGGACTGTGTGTGCCTGCCTGGGTTTGGGGGGGTGGGGGACTCATGCTGAGAGCAGGGGATGGAGTGAGGAGGGGGGCTTGGCAAAGGGAGGGCAGAGAGCTAGAGAAAGAGGAAGCAGATTGGGGAGAAGAGGCAGGAAGTCAATGCACCCCTGGTTAATGCTGTGTCTGGGGAGCAGGCGGTGAGTTTCAGCCTCCTGGCTTGGTAGTGAAAGCCCATCAGAAAGAGGGTGATCAATCACAACTAACCAGGACATCCCTGCGCTTTATTCCCAAAGGACATTAGAGCGTCAACATGGAAAACTAGATTTTACTGTGTGTGTGTGTGTGTGTGTGTTTTTTTTTTTTAATTTCTTTATTTCTGACTGCCGAACTTGCCCCTCCTTGTCCCTATCTCTGGATTTTGTAAAAATTGAGGGTGTGGTTACTTACCCGTAACAATAATTAGATAAATATGGCCGAAGGAAATAGCTAGGCCAAGTCCAGGCCGGTCTTACCTTAGCAAAATAGGCCGGAGAGGATTTAAAAAGATGCTTGGTTTTGTTCTTTTAAAGGAAGCTGCGACTGGGGTGACGAGGGGAAAATCCAATGGCTGGAATTTTATTGCACTTTTGTACACAGAACACCTTACAATTTAGAATTGGTAATTTATTTGGAAACAGTTGATGCCAAATCAATGAAATGGTTTGTAACGAGGGAGGAAGAGGTTTCAGTTGGGGAGGGGGCTAAGAAATGCCAGTTTTCTACTCCTTGTTTATGCGCCTGGCAGCGTCGCATTTGACTGGGGTTAACTCTGTGTGCTCCATTGGACCAGATGCCATATAGAGCTGCTCCCTGAAGATCATTTGTTTCCTTGATGGGGAACATTTCTGAGCAGAGCATATTGGTTGCCATAGAGAAAGAAATAAAAGGAAGAACACTAGTCACATTAAGCTATATGTTTGTGCACTGGGCTTTAGATAAAAGGACCTTGGTTCAGCCAAAGAGAAGAAGCCAAACTAGAGATTTCTAGTGCCACTAAAACTAGCCTTATTTTGTTTTGGACTTTTACAGTTGAAACATATAAGCTAATTTTATTGGTTGTTGTTAATTTTATATGACACGGTTTACTGAACAAAATAAACTTTGCTCAGGAGTAGCACTGTTGACTAGTCAGCAGGGGGCGCACTGAGTCGTTGTAGCGGGTGCTGAGTAAAATGTAGCCGGTTCAAAAGCAAATCTGCTCTTCCAAACTTGCCAAAGGAACAAACACCCCTACCTTTCTATGCATATTCACAACGAGGGGTGAATTCGTTGCATAACGCAGGGTTTTAAAATACTAGGACAATGATTTTCCCATCCCCCACCCGCTCGTGTCTGTGAAATGGCCCAGCAAGATACACAGTGCAGAAATGATTTCTCCCTTTCTCTCAGGAAAAGTATCCATAGGTCTGTCTATAGAAATGTGCTATGAAAGCAAGAACACTTTTTTTTTGTAAGTGTAATTTTGATTACTAATAGGCTGCTTACGAAGCTATTTTTTTTCCTGTTGTAATTTTTGGAAAAAGGTCAAGCAAACAAAATGCATTCTAAGGTATTATCTGTTAAATAATGGACATTCTGTAACCTCATACAAACGTTGAGTTCTAAATAAAACCTAGGATTCTGAAGATGTGGTCAAAGCCCCTAGAATCCCTTTGACTCCATTTGATACTGAGTAGCTACTTTCATTCTCCATACAGCCTGTGGCTTTAAAAAGATTTTGGATTTGCCCTTGAAAGGCTGTTAGAGAAAAGAAAATACAAACTAACCACGGGTTAGATCGAGATAACCGTGGGCTTGAAACTTTTAAGGACAGTATTACTTAACCCAGTTGAAGAAAAGTTTTAATAGAGCACAAAGTTTCCGCCTCAAAAGAGTTTTTAGATACTGCCAATGAAGACCGAAGTTAACTGTGGTAAAGGATGAAAGAGATATGTGGGAAACTTCCTAAAATAGTGAAGGGCAGATCCTGACTGGTTCAGAGGAATTAGTCAGTTTGTCACTAGCAATTTTCCCAAGGAGATTTAGGGAGCATGACTAAGAAGGGGAAGCCATGAGTTCCTGGAAGTGTGAAGCCCGAAGCTGGCTTCCCCTGCTCGGTAGCCCCAATGCACCTGTGAGTGTGTCGCACAGCCTGTTAAAAGGGGGGCACACTAAGTGATTGCTGCATGTCCCTCTGCAAGAGGGGCAAGCCACTTCATTATTTCTAACTCAGCTCCAAGTCATCCAGGTTCCAGCCACCAGAAGATTTTTTTTAAAAAAATAATTTTAGTAAGTTAGTGTTGGGATTGAAGAGGCATTTCATCTAGGAGTGTTGAAAGATTATGGGAATAATATAAACAAAGGAGACACCCTCAAATATATTTTAATTCTGTGATTTTTCACCCTTGAACTCTCACTTTTGGAATCAGGAAATGTGTGTCAGGTTTGCACTAATAAAACAAAGTGGAGAATTGAGGAAACTGTAATTTGAGCCCAAACATTGCTTTTTCCTCACTCTCTGGACATTTCAGACAAAAGACTTCTGGGGGGAGACCCTCATGAACTGGACAGATGTCTCAAAGCTCTAGCTCATTTTGCATGCCCAGGGCTGTTCAGTGCATTTTAAAAAATATTAGCGAAAAAGGTAACTTTTCATTCAGACATTTTGTAAAACACTGGTGAAGCAATCATTATACACATTTAGAGCATATTTATGTTTTTGTCACTTTTCATGAGATCTGTGATTGTCTAGGCTACTGCTTAATTTCCTTTTTTTCCCAAATGCACTTAAAAAGAACCAGGGAAAGAAAAGAAAAGTGCTTACCTCTCATGATATCTATAGTCTTAGGCAACTTGCAGTAAAAGAAACAGAAAATAAGAATTCTGAGTAAAAGTAAAAGCAACAAGTTCATTTAAGAAGAACTCACACATTATAGGAACTGCTTTAGCATTCTGTAATGATTTGGGGGTGGAAACATTCAAGCTGGGTATGAATTAGGATCCAAAGTGCTGGGCAAAGCTACAGACTTTTAATTGTTGGGGATGGTGAAATTGCTTTTGCCAAATGAGAGCACGAAGAACATTACCTGGGTCAAATGTACCAAACACAAAGTGGGTATTTACTCATCTGCTTCCATTTGAGAATGATAAGGTGCTCTGATACCGCTGCAGTTTGGAAGCACATTTTCATTAGCATTTACAAATTAAAATGTTAAGCATGCTCACAATCCACATTGTGTGTTTTATACAAAAGGGAAGGTTCTATAATGGTAGCTTTTGGGTAGAAGAGAGAATTTGTTACGTTGGCAGTAGATGAGTAGTTGTTTGGTCTTGCTAAGTTTTTTGAGGTGTACTCCTTGTTCCCCATGCCTCTCTCTTTATATCATTTTGATAACTGATTTATGTGTTCAGTAGGAAAGAAGCAAGCACTCAGTTTTTTAAAAAGATGGATTAGAAGTAGTTAGAAATTCAAAGATATTATGAGTCCCCACCCTAAAGTAAGATGCTTTCTTTCTGATACTTGAAGGATGGCTTTAAACTACAGTGCATTTCAGATTGTGGAAAAATAAATTAAGAAGGCACAGTAAGTTGGTAATTGAGTATATGCTTTTGAAACAAGCCATTCCCAACAGTTTGCCCACACTAGCTGCATGTGTGCACCTGACAAGTATGGTAATGAAAACTACCAATCGCTGGGGAAGCAGGAGCTGATGGACTAACCTTGCCTACCCCTCACCATCTTCCCTGCTCTCTACCTAACAAACATAATGGTCTTCTTCAAATTTAAATTCATAGAGCAAGGCAATGTAGAGACTAGCTGATTGACCAGAGATGATGTTGATAATGATGGTGATGATGGTGATGATGATGAATTCATAAAAAATGTGTTTATGTCCTAGCTAGAAAAATATTCACAAGGTCAACTTACTGTGTGTGTGTTAAAAAACAGAACCCAGAAATATTAGCTTTATCAGAAGAGTGAATGGAGTTTTTGAGCTTGTGGTGGTCCTAACAGAATTAAACTGCTCTTTCCTTTGGGGACACTCCCTATACCAAACGTTCCCTAAACACTTTACAGTGCCAGTGTTTCCTCTCTGGGTTGGAACCAGGCAGTCTTGAGGTAGGTAAGAAAGTCATTGTGGCATACTGGAAAACAATTCTTGCACTCTGGTGCGTGCATCTCTCTCTCTCTCTCTTAGATTTTTTTTTTTTTTTTTTTGACATTTGAACTTAGCTATTGTCTGAGGAGCTGGGTGCAGATTGCAGCATATCAGGCTGAATGTTGCTCTTTTTGGTATTTCTGCCTAACAGCGCTTCTGTGGGGATCTTTGCTACAGAGTGCGGAAGCTGCCACTTCACACCTCTGCTCCTTTCCTGGGTCCTACCCCTTCTAGGGTACCCAACCGAAACTGGCCACCCTCAGAGATGTTTTCAAGAAAGTGTGGCTGTTGTTGTTCACTTTAAACAGCAAGTGCATTTATTGATATTTGATGCTTCAAGTACTCCATGTTTTGCAGCAATATCATTTCAGTACTAAAATA